AGTTTTTATACCTATTTTGATTCTATAGGACTGGGGAGAGTACAGTACTTACCTACTCTGGCGACGCCTGAGATCCGCAATATCAAGTCAATTTTATAATTATTTGGTGAACATCCAAAAAAGGCATTGGAAAAATTAGCAGAGACAATGCTTAGTTTAAAATCTGACTAATGTCAGTAAATAAAGTTGTTGACAACGAAGGTGACTAATTAAGTATACACGATTGATAAAAGAAAATAATTTTTAAGTACATGTATTTGTTTTTAGTACTAGCTATATACAAAAAATACGTTTTCGTAACGTTGCAGACACATCTCGCAGCCTGTACCTGCTGCACATCCTGACGTGGGTGATGAATATGTTCGGGATATTCTTCATTCTCGCAGCACACGAACACTACTCCATCGACGTGTTCATCGCGTTCTACATCACCTCGCGCCTCTTCCTCTACTACCACACCCTCTCCAACAACCAGGCTCTCATGCAGAACGACTCCTCCAGGTAACACTCTACTTTCTCTCAAGTTCTCTCCCTTTCACACGGTCTATTTATAAGGAAATGATGGAGGGGGAAGTAGATTTCGCGGAGTATGCGACGTCTAGAAAGCGCAGATATTTACTCAGCCGATTTGTATTCTTTCCTTAGTGTCATTGAGGAGTTTCTTATCAAGGGGTTTGGGATGATCTGATGGATTACTTTTTGACGTGCTGTAATACTTTAAGCCTGTATATCATTCACTCCCAGTTTCGGCAACTAAATAATTATTTAATTAAAATTTCGGTGTATGGGTGTGGCCCGAAGACATTTAGAATCTTACTTCTTACTAATTTTATAAATGCGAAAGTTTAGATGGATGTATGTTAGAGCTTGTAGCCTAAACGGCTGAACGGATCTCAATGAAATTTGGTATAGACTTAGGATAGTCTGGAAGAACACATAGGTTACTCGCTTTAGTATTTTTTTAATTTCACGCGGACGAAGTCGCGGACGAAAGCTAGTCCACTTATAAAAAGGTTTATGCAATTGAAGTCGTGTAAGTTTTATCTTTTTGTATTTGACGAATTTTGCGTTGTTCATTCAATTGCCAAGGTGGCTCCGACTTTTACATGAAGACTATTCGAATTATAAATTTGTCAAGGTGCCATAACTTTAAAAAGAAAAATGAACTATGAACTTCTCATGCGATGTGAGATGTCGATATTTTATTTTTAAGCAACTTTGAACATACGTTGTTCAGGTCTAGGTAATGCTTTGTAACTTGCAACTAAGCCGAGACTTTCTGGTCCAATGCTTATATCGTTTTATTTTTAAACTGTATACTTATAAGTCCTCTGTCTAAACAAAATAATGAAGGAGATTATGATATACCCAATTCATGTTTAAGTTTGGTTGTATGTTATCCCTTTCTATTTTATAAATACTATAAATCTAGGTATCTCGCTCGTCTCATGTCGTAAAGTTTTGTTTTTAATGAACGATTACGGTGCACCTAATAGCCTGCGTCAACTAATTCAAGGCCAAGACCAAAATAATCTTCGCTAAAACGTTATGAAATTAAAAATGTATTACACTACGACATTGTAGTTTAGATGTCGGATTTACGTAAGAAGACTCCGAGGTCATTCTCTTCGCTATTCATAGGTATACTATGAAATTTATAGTGTCTATGAAAATCAGATGTAAACAATAATGCAACAATACTTTGCATTTCTAGGCGTTCGTTATAATTTAATTTTCACACTTGCTTACCCTAACCAATTTACATACATGAAATCCACGCAAGTAATATAAACATTGAGTCGTTACAACAAAAGATTATGCTGTTTTTATTTAATACAATGGGTCGTAAATATGTTGTTGAGTGAACATACGCTGGTTATTTCCAGATCCGTACAATTTCTTTGTTCATCAAGTTAGTAAATGTCGAAGTTTTGTTGACACATAATTTACTCATTGTTATTAAAAAAATTAAGTTATCAGAAATTGTCTTTTAGTTTAGCATTAACGGAGATAGAGTCTCGGTAGTCATAATGTGTGTTTAATTAAATTTTATTAGTGTTTAATTGTGTTACTTCAATGATGTTAATTGCGCGACTTGCGCAAGTGAAAATCTTCATTTAAGCGATTCGCTAATTAATGTTAAGAGTAAATTAAAATTAATTTGGTTAAGTAATAATTATTATATAAATATTTATCAAGAGAACGAAGTGTGAAAGGCTGTTTGTAAGATCAACTTTTACTTATTTCTAACCGAACAAAAACTAACAATGTTGTTGGAATATATTACATACATAAATTAGCTTTTTTTTCTTTTAATTTAATGAACTCGTACTGCTGCCGATAATGTCTAAGGATATTACGTAATTCGTTTCTTTTATATTTATGTTTACACTTTTGCATTATGCTTTTACGTAAGGACTAACTTCTTAGAGACGATAAAATCGTGGCCTATAAAATATGTTAATTACAAAAAATATATGTGATCACATAAATAATACTTTGTTGCGTGTTCTAATCATAATACAAATCAGCTTACTAAGGTCGTTCATATAACTCATGTTAAATGTGTGGCCACTATTTAATTTATTTGTTTCCCTAAATAATATAGATTATTTTTATAAAATAATATGTATTATAAACGTTTCTAGGACAAGAATATGGTTTCCGCTGCTGTCGTTCTTCGAGTCGGAAGTGGACGGCATCGTGCCTAACGAGTACGAGGGGCCCATGACCATCCTGAACAACTTGCGCCAGTGGCTGCTTCAGCTGGTCACCGACGTCAAGACCTCCTCCATGGCCAAGATCGCCGGCTCCAAGCTGCAGGAGGGCGCCGCCATGGGTGAGTACTCCGTCGTCAAACTGGTCGACGGGATAAAACGCAATCTCAGTTTGATCGAGGAGTACAAGAATTCCCGGCAACGGTTAGTGACGTTAGATAAAAATATACAAGCGACGATGTTGGAGGAGCTTCCGGAGGCCGAGCTGCGGCTGCGCGCCGCGCCCGGCCCCCGCGCGGAGCCTCGCACCACGCGCGGCGCTCCGCCCCCGCCCCCGCCTGCGCACGCGCCGCACGCGCACAAGAAGACTATATGAACGTCGTAGAGGCTACTTGCGCTAACCATCATAGCTAATGTAACTAAAGTGAGTTAGATACCTGAACTACATTTCCATTATAGATTTTATATAAAATGTTATATATCATGTTTATGTTAAGTTAAATATGTAATAAATTATTAAGAGAATTTATTTGCTCAAAATAATCGTGGGAAATAAACATGTTTAATGCTTTAGACTCAGTCTTATTTATTTGTGAGTGTTCTTTCCGTCGTCCACGCGAGTGCGAGGAAGTCTTGCAGCGCGCGCGTCAGTGCGGGCAGGTCGCGCGCCGCCGCCAGCGCGCACGCCGCGCCCAGCCCGCACAGCGCGCGCCCCGCCCACCGCGCCGCGCCCGCACCGCCCGCACCGCCCGCACCGCCCGCACCGCCCCAACTACTGCAGCACGCTAGTCATACATCCTAATATCAATTATTTGTCGTTGCCAAATACGTTTTTTATTATGAATTTACTAAACCATTCAATTTTAGAATAGACCACAAAGTTACAAACCCAATAAAATCGACTGTCAAGACTTCTCCAATACTGATTCGACAATCCTCTTGGATACGAATTTCGTCATTGCTTAGAGGAAAATTTGTTGATGTTTCTTTTTATAAAAGTACGAGCTTTACATATATCACTATACATATCAGGAACCCACAGAAAATAGTTTTGAAATACTTTGTGCTTCAGCTGATAATGTCGACACAAGTCGATCATTTTCTGTTAATTTATGGAGTTCCATATCCAAGTTCTTACGATTGTTGCAGAGATTATAATAACGCTGGATAAAAGAAGTGGTGTCTGTCGTATTCACTACGTTGAACAATTTATACAAACATTGCTAAATCGGTAAGGTTTTTGTCGAGGTATTTACTGTGATTGCAGAATTAGCCAAATTACTGTACTTATGGGAATTTAATGTCTTCGCCGCTAGATGCATGGTTTGTTGCTTCTCTTCTATTTCAAGGATACTTGCTTTATAAGCGATTGTTTTAGATATTCCAAGATAATTGAGATTAGATTATGATAAACATTTCTTTTTACTAATTTGCCAACTTGGAATTTTTTTACTATACATGCTTGAATTAAAAATGCAAATTTAGTCACTTTTTAATCACCTCATTATCCTATATTTTGGTTTTATTGTACCTCTTTGACCTTTTAGCGAAACGTTTCATATTGATCATTATAATTTCCTAGATTACAAAAAAATTTACTTACCCTGAACCTCAGAACAAAATGGTTAGGTTTGTAATCTGCGAGGGAACCGAATATTGTTAGTCCCAGTATTTTACTACTTAGTGTGTACCGTGTGTACGAAATTTATGTAAGAAAGTCTTTTATTTCATTTGCTGTTTGCTTAATCCTTTCATTTTGGTACTGTCTACCTTTATTAGTGATTCTTTCCCTAATATTTAAATAATACATATATCTTTTTGTCAAATCCATTGCAAAATATCATCGAACACAAATGTTAGATGTTTTATCCTTCGAATGTATATCTTTGAAAGAAATTCAAATAGTATTAGCTACTTATTACCAAAGCTTTGTACTATACTGACTAGTTATGTTGCTAAACTATTTGAACTATTTAGCAATTTTACTATGAATATAAATATCTTGACTATTCTACGAAAGTAACTAAGCTTTTAATTATTGTCTTGTAAGTCATTGCTAAATAACTTTGAACAATTCTCAAATTAATCAAAATATGTTTAAGGAACATACTTTGTCCTCAAACCTTATCGTGGTGTAAAATACTTAAATTTTGGCCTGATTTTAAAACTAGAAAAAAAATCTCACTAAATTATTTAATGTATTTTATTTAATGTCGTTATAATGTGAATTAGCTTTTGGCAATAATGGCTATTGCTAAGCTTTACATGACTCGCTCCGTACTATGATGACCTAAATATTGCCGTTAAGAAATGTTTAGCGACTAGGCTACACTTGTATCCTTTAAGCGATGGTGTCGAGAAATAAAAGAACTAAAATTATATGGCATTTTATATAATTCATATGAAAAAATTAGTTAAAAATTCTGTCTTTAATAGTAATATTAATAAATGATAAAAAAAGATCAATTGATACAAAACAATAAGCAGCGTAGTTTACTGATAAGAATGCTCATTTTTACCGAGTTTGAGCTAATGTTGCCAGTAGTGACATAGTGACATAGTGACAGCACCTCAGATCAATTAGTTACAACTATAATTGACCTAAAAAAATGTCATGGTCATTAAAAATAGTCTTCAATGATACAGTAGAGCACTCTTAGAAGCAACCAACTTACAAAAGTAAAATACTTGTATACTTATACATCAAAATTCATCTCGCTTTCAACATAAAAAATTTCGCAAAATATAAAATCAAGTATTAATATTTTAAATAATACAAAGCGTTTAATGACAGTTAAAATTATTAAATAGAATTCTTAATCTCGAACTTCATTAAAATTTCATTAATAGACTAATGTTAATTTGATAATAGGCCACTTCATAGACAGACGTAAATGTACATCGCCACATAACATTAATTCTCAACAAATACTTCTTTGTATTATATACAATGACTAATTATTGCAAAGAAGTGAATGATGCAATATAAATAACAAAATGAGTTTAATGAGTGCTCGCTTAGTGCTAGAGGATACTGATTTGAGCTGAAAAGCAAATAAATGTTGCAGGTCTGTTACTCGGCGGCGGCGGCGGCCTCGCTCTGGATCAGAGCTATGGACGGGTCGTCCACTTTTCTTTCACTTTTACCTGTTTGCTCCTCATCCACTTCTATATCTTCGGATTGTTCGCGAGACCTCACCGCACCATTCACCGTCTCATCAGTTTCATGAGAATTTTGTGCTTTTTCTTCATCTTCTCTTACTGGAGATGGTTCTTTGTCAATGGACTTTTGTCTCTGTGGTGATTTTTCTTTTTCTGGGGTAGTTTCTTTAGCGGGTGACTCTGCTTTTGCTTCATTATTTTCTTCATTTTGTTCTGTGTTGTCTTCAACCGCTTCCTCTTTAGTTGGTGTTGCCTCCCTCACTGGTGACTCTGCTTTAGGTGCTGTCTCTTTAGTGGGTGAAGGTTCCTTTTCCCCAGTCTCATTGGAGACAACTGTTTCCCTTTCTTGGGAGTTCTCTTTTGATTCTTTGCCAACTTTACCTCCACTAACATCACCATTCACTGCATTTTCCTTAAAATTTACAGATACTATTATCACAAATATGTAAAAGTTAACTTTGGCTATACAATAATTGAAAACTGTTATATTGAAATTATTCAAAATAGGGTTTCTTATTCTTGATGACTCACTATCTATTCCGCAATTGAATAGTAATAATGCTACATACAAGCATAAATTATCAGCTCAATCTGATTCCTATGCTACCTAAATGTTAAAGCTCTTACCTTTTCAGTCTGCGGTGGCTCTTCAGGAGGAAGCTCCAGTTTCAGGAACTGCTCAAGTGTGTCTACTTCATTTGCCAAATCAAATTGGTCATAGTCCTGTAATTTATATAGAACACCTTTAAAAAGCAATTTACAAACTAATTAAATCACAAGAAGTAAAGATTTGTATTCTTGAGCAACATTATATTTAAAAAGGAAAAATCATTATGAATTAAACATTAACAAAAATATTTTGCATATATATTCAAAACTGTAAAGGTAGAATGAAAACAATAGATAAAACTAACTGCTTAGCTATTGTTTATGTGACAGTATTGTAGTATCATATATGATTGAAATATGTATATCTAGGAGTCATTACAATACCAAGCCCATCTATTGTTCTCTTTGTTTTGTATCATATAGATTTGTTTCATTATTATGGAATTTAAGAAAACATATATGAAGATGAACGACAATATTGATAATATTAAATAATATTGGTGTTATTTAAAAAAATATTAAATGACCTGCATATAATGAATACAAATAAATTTATAATCTAAAATACAAAATCTATAAAATACTCATCTTCAGGTCAAAAGTATATGCATAAGGTGTTAATCACCTTTAATTTTCTTCATTTTAACAAGCCCTACTCATTCAACAATCAAGTTTGAAATTTTAATTAGGGCGTGGTTTCATATAAGGACTAAATTAACTAATATTTAAGGGGTTTGTTGTTTAAAGGAATTAATGTATGGTATACACTTATCTAGTGAAAGTTAACGGAAAATAAAATTGTCAGAAGCTGCATTGACATTAATTTTTATGGGACAAGAATTTAAAATAAATTTCTTATAATTGTACTTACCCCACAGTATTCTAGGTCATTGAAGAGTTGTGGAGGAAGCGGCGAGCGCGGGTTGGGGTCGCTAACAGTGCCCCCGTTGCATTTGGCATTGTTTTGCATGAAGTCTTTATCATCTTCCCTGCCAGGCTCAGTTATGTCAATGATCTCATATTTTATGTTTTTAGAATCTAATATCATCAAGACACGCTGTTGCCTTTTTTTTACCTAAAAGAAAGTGATATCACGTAATCGAAAACAAAAGTTATATGACTCAGTTTAATAAAAAAGACGAAAGGCACCCGGTTGTACCCAGGAATTTTCTAATATTAAACGTACCTCTTTGTTACCAGAAATACCACTTATGTATACTTTGACAACCATGATTGAAAAGTATCTAAAAGCAGGAATATAATTGTAAAAAACACATGCAAAAAACACTAAAATTGAAAAATAGGCTTGGCCATTAGTCGATCTGTTAGAGTAATAATAATTACCACTCCAGAACTGTCATTTCAAAATGACATTTCTTGTGTTACCATCATGTCGTATCTAATCTTCTACTGTTTTTATACTATTTCGTATTTTGCAATTTGGTGTCTTTTTAAAAGTGGGAGATATAAAATATTTAAGTCCCTTCTTCATAACGTGACGATTAAAATCTATTCTTGTATGAAGCCAGAAAGGAGAGTGATACTAACTATACATATCAAGCTACTAAAGTATATCAGGTTGTAGGCGATGGACTTTCGCAGGCAACTGAACTTTTGTTTTTCAACCACTTTTATAACAGTCCTCGACCAGTGAGAGAAAAGTTTGTTTAAAAACTGGGAATTAAAATAAAATTCCATGATAAAAGACTAATTTCTTAGGTTCAATTTAGTGTATAAAACAATAAAACACAATTCGTTTTATAAATACAAATGTAATTCAAGTTAGTACATAGGCATATTATCATTCTGTAGACATAAAAAAAAAAAACATTTTAATTTTCCAGCAAAAACAACATGAATCTATAAATTATCATGATCATAGCATTGTGAATATAATCCAAAGTTTTTTGGGAATGTCTTACAGCCTTCTTTGATTTTTTTTATATTTTTTTAAAAATTACGATATTATTTATAATTACATACTACGTAATCATACACAATGGCTAAAACTAAAGCACACTTGACGGAATTATTACTGGGCTGCGAAAAGTCTATGTTAAGTGTCGATAATATTAATCAAGTGATAAGATTGTTGACACTTATCAGCCCTTTTAGCTCAAGTCCTTATGATTATTTCAATAAAAGCAAAGTAAAATAATCGTGAATAAAATGAACGCATCGATCGCAGTTAAAACTTTTTCAGAATACTTACAATAGTTTATAATTTTTATAGGCCCTTTGAAATCGTATTTTATAATAGAAAAATTTAACATTACATGTTTTTAAGGATGCATAATTAGGTTGCTTCACGCAATACAATAAACAATGTGACTGTAAAAAAAGCTTTCATGTTATTTTACTCATCATCAACTTGCCCTTGACCCAGCGCAGAGTCGGCACAGTATGTAATTCTCTTCCATATATTTCTATCAGCCGTCTCATGTGAATCCATTCCTTTTGTAAGCATATCCTCTTTCACACAATGTATACACACTCTCTTCGGTATTCTTCTACCTTTGTAGCCATCCACATTAAATCTTAATACTTTCCTGTATGTCCTCATCCTCTCGTCGCATGTGTCCATACCGCGCTAATCTTTTGCTTCACAATTTCTCGACTTCCTCTAATATACCCATTTTACTAAAAGCTTATTTTACACTATAGAAAGTTCAAGAAATCCTCGAAGTATAGTTATAATTGTTCTTATTAATTAATCAAATGAATTAGTTAAAACGGAGGCAAGTATTGCGTAACTTTATTAGCTTGTCTAAATGTATATCTTAAAATTAACTTAGTTCTCGTTTCTGCATCTTGAGTGGATTTAAAAAACGAGAACTTTCGAACTGTGTTCGCACATTTCTATTTAGGAAGTATTTTTTTTTTCAAATACAATACAACATTTTGTACAACAGAAATTACGTAAATAATAAAAATCTTCTCATGCGCCGGAGTTGATTCATTTAGATCCATTTATTAGGCACATAGACCGCGCATTGATTTGTGTTACCCATCAGTGGTTTATTAAATAAACCTTTTTATAACCATTCTGAGCTACCACTGTAATATTTAAAAATATATTTAAATTATATATCCTGGAAGATTTTTGTTATGATGTCGCTTATTCCAAAACGCTAACTCTTCTATTAATTAACGTAGATTTGTTACCAGCTGTATATTTACTACAATATTACTTCCCAATGTTATTGCCAACGGTACTTGGAAAGGTAAACAAACAAATATAGCGCACATAAATATATTGTATAGAGATGCACCATTCATTACTGATCGCTACGCTATGCCAAGTTGCAGTCGAGCTTGCAACGTCCTGTCGCCTTGGCAGACTTTTTAAATGACGGTTTTTGTTACCGTAGAAAAAAGAGGACATATTTTTTAGCCAAATTGACAATGTAAACGTAAGGTGAATGCCAATAAGTCGGTAAACATGTTGGGAATGATACTACGTCGAAAATACAATTGGCAGTTATCCAGACAGCTGTTAGTGATAATCCGCCATCTCGCTGCTGACTGCCTCAATATTTGTCATTATATTACATACTGTTTAACACCCCAGCCCAAAATTAAATGGTATTTGCTTGAGAGGGAAGACTGCAGGGAAAAGTTTCGAGAGAGAGTGGTAGATAAAATGATTGAGATGG